TAAGTACTGAAATAGTATTTCAACCTAAGAACTATATGATAGAAAGTAGAACTCACCACTTCTGTGCTTGACCCTTCCAGTCAGAACCCCACTGATGTCGAAGTTTTTCTCGGACATGGGGTGGGAAGTCATAAGTCAGCCAATAAGGTACCTAATTTAAGAAACCAATGTTCAAGACATTTCACTGATGTGTCCAATTTAGGTAAACACAGGTTTTTACTCGGAGAAAACTCTCAAATGAAAGAATAAAAATTTCTGGCCAATTTACAACTTCGGCATCCACAGTATGCACATTAAAACTACTAATAGTAATACAAAAGAACCTATAGTCCAACTATCGTTCTACACGATCCTTCAACAAACAAGCCATATTGGAAGAAAAATATTAAGTACCAAGTGATTGGGTTAGGATATCACTAATGACAGTTCAGAATATTCTTTCTCATCTCCAGAGAAAAAAAATATAATTATGACCACAATGGGTTGGCACAGTAATCACAAAGGCATGCTCTAAAATCATCTCCTTCAAATCTAGATTCAAATCACGGTGGCCATCTACCAATCATATTTCAATATTCAATGAGCTGTTTATGATATGGCCACCAATAATATTTCAATATTCGATGAGCTGTTTATGATATCTGCCAAACAGATGTCTAATGACCTAAACATTAGTTGAAGTGTATGAAAGCCAGCACAAATAGGTTAGCCATGAAGAAAAAGTAAAATATGATTAAATTACAATAAACCAATTTCCATAATCAGAAAATTGATGGTAAGAAATTTGACAGTGAAATCGAGAACAGTAAAAACATCAAGAACATCCTAAACCAACTCAAATAATCACTCTAAGACTTTGGTTGATACAATAGTGATCAATTATGAATTTTCTTTCACACCATAGTAAATAAACCGATGCTAAAAAAGAAATAAATAAAGAGGAAACTAGGTATGCTTGTTTAAGACACATTTAACCCTTTGTGAAAACAGAAACGTGATTTAGTGCAACTTTTTAGAAACTGGATGATGTTGAGATCTAACTGGCAAGATCTACTCATCTCTCCTAAAATATACTTTCTTCAATTTCAACAATTAGGAGAAGATCTCAGTTCATGAAAAATTAAGAACAAATATGTATAGCAAAGCAAAAACAAACAAATAGATAAATGAAATAGTACTTCAGCAATGATCTCTGCAGATCTAACTCCTGTTTCTTCTCTTAGTTCTCTGATGGCTGCATTTCTTGGATCTTCACCCTCATCCACACCGCCCTAATTAACACGACAGAATGAATAAATCATGGATAAAACATATCAAACACTCAAGGCTATGCTAGATGCTTATATATTGTAACTGTACTATTTAATTATGCTTCAATGCTAAAATTTCAGACTTATTTCTCGTTGAACTACTATGTCACCAATTCATGACAATCTCACAACAACAAAAGGAAGTACGCCGCTTCGATACAATCCAATAAAAATAACAGCTAATTCCCATTCTCCTAATTACATTGAATTACAGCAAAATAAAAGACGGCAACCCCGAACCTAAGACAAGCTAAAGAATCTTAAGTGACCTCGAATTTCGTAGATGATCCCTATACAACATTTAAAAAGCAAGTTATGGATGTCTCAACTGCAAACCGGATGCCAAAATGCGGTCAACCCATTGAAACAACCGCGAAATATTCTAGCAAATATATACGAACAACCATACCGACAATTAATCAATGAACACATCCAATTGAAGAAACATTTCATGTAATCTATACGCGATGTAGCGGTAAAATAGTACCAATTCATTATTCAGAACTCGTAAACGCGCTGCTAAAACAAAAATAAAGCAATTAACCATACTATAACCTAGAAGAATCAAACAAATCATCAGATACCTGTGGCATTTGCCAAGCTTCGGGTATATCCAACCTCGAGGCAGCAAAAATCTGCACGCATCGATTATCGGAAGCACGTCACATACGATTACTGGAACAGATGTACGGCAATAGAGAAACAGATAGAAAAGTTTGTAAAATGACCTTTTTAGAAGAATTGATGAGGCAAATGCCGACGTTTCTGCGGTAACCTTCGGGAGGAGCTTCCATGGAAGACGACGCCGGACGCGCGGCGGAAGAGAAGAGTGCAGCGGGAGAAGTTGGAAGGCGGAGGCGGAGACGGAGAGGACGACGACAGTGAAGGAGCACTGAATGAGTAAAAACGACGGGTCGATTTAAGGCCATTTCCTTTCGCTCCCAAGTGGCGTTCATCCAACGCTTCGCGCTTCATTTATTATTCTCTGGCGCCAGATTTATCTTTTCCTTTTTCCTCTCGTTGTAATCAACGTATTAAATTTGGTATGGCCACATTTTCACCACATTTTCATACGTTTCCATATCGATACCATAAAAATATTCGAGATGAATAATGTATTAAATATCCGTCCATACACCACATGAGAGGGCTAAATTGATATTTCTATCTTACTATTAGAAAAATTCAACAAAATATGAAAAATATCAACAAAATATCACTAGTATACATATAATATTAATATTAATCATTTTTAATTTATTTAAAAATATAATAATGTCTATCACTAGTATATCTATAATATTAATATTAATCATTTTTAACTTATTTAAAAATACAACAATGTTTAGTTGATTGTAGAAATAATCGTTAAAAATCTAAAAAGCATCAATAAAACATCATTAATATTGACCTAATATTTGTATTAATAATTATTAACTTATTTAGTAATTGACAGTTGTAAAAAAATGGTGAAATGTTAATTTAAATATTATTTTACAATTTTTTTATTTTTATAATTTTTTCTAAAAATATCTGGGATATATCGGTATGCAACTGATATGTGACATATGGTTAAAAAACAGAAAATTAGAAAATCATTAACATTGGTGAAGGAATTTTTTTACCAATTAGAAAATCATTATCAACGAGGGAATTTCTTTTCGGACAAATGAAAATTAAAAAAGAACAAAACGACGCCGTTGCCGGGGATCGAACCCGGGTCACCCGCGTGACAGGCGGGAATACTTACCACTATACTACAACGACTTGATGATGAAATGGGCAACAAATTAAATAATTATGTAAAATAAAATTCAGGTTGGGTGAATAGTAATTAAGCAAACCAGTGACGTTATAAATATGTTTTCAGAAAAAGGCAATTGGCTCCATGTTTCTTGCTCCCCTGGCTCTCATTGTCGTTGCTTTAATATCTAAAAACTTTAAATTTTTCTTTTAATTGGAAGGCTTTCAAATTTGGATCTTAAACTGAAATCGTAGAATTTAAGTTTAAATATTGTTTTAGTTGGGTATGTTTATATATTTTTAATTTTGGTTCATTTTAATTTTTATACTTTCAAAACTTCATTTTACATTGGATTTGACTTTCGAAACTATTGGTAGCGAAGGGATATTGTGCAGCGAGGATGCTAGTGATTTTGGGATTTATAAATGGATAATTTGAGGTGGTTAGAGGAGGAGGAGTCCCTCATTTCATATTTGAGGTGGTTATTATCTTAAAAATTTATACAAAATTTTATAAATATTAATAAACATGTTAATGGTTGCCCACTTTTAAATACCAGTAGAATTCACAACCTACTGGTTGGAGGTATATTCCAATTATGGTTGAGTTATGCTCGTTTTGACAAATCAACAGTGATTTAATATTGCTTAAACCAACAATATTAAATTTAAAGAACGTTTAATTCGGTGGATTAAGTATTAATTAATAAAGTTAAAATCAAATGATTAAGAGTATAATCTAAGATATTTACTAAAAAAATGAAGAGAGAGTAGAAACTAAGATATAAAGTTAAGCCACAAAAGACAAAACCACGTCAATTTTATTTATAAGTACATATAAATATAATTAAAATTTCAACAAACACTTTAATCAAATCTAAAACAAATCACCTAGTATGCTCAACAACCAACATTAAATTTTTATTCAATGGATTAGATGTGGTATGCTAGATTCAAATTTGAAGCTAATCCTAAATCATGGAAATCATAATTGTAACTTAACCCCTCTTTTATCGTATCGTCAAGTAAAAATATGTTTCAAACCCTAAATATTAAATTATATGGTTGGATTTTACATTTTTTATTTTTCTTTAAAGTTACATTTTTAATGTTGGTTTTGTTTGTATTATATAAATACATATTGTTATCGATGAGTGATATTGAGTTACAAATCTTCAACGAAAAGTTGGAGGTTCAAATTATCATCCCGACATATTGTTGAACTAAAAAAAATTAAAATGATATTAATCTAATTAAACGGATCCAAGTTAACAGTTTTCTACCTCAATAGAGGTTGAGATTAGTAAATTGAAATATAAAAATATAATAATGATTTTAAAAAATACAAATTATTCAGTCCAGCAAATGAAATTTTGTGTTTTATTAAGAAATTTATTAGATATAAAATTGAAAGATTAGTGACGATATAAAATTAAAATTTATAGACCTGTCAAATATAATATTGAAACAAAATAATTATTTAAATGTAGGCATTTCTAACTGTTAGTTTTTTAAAACATATTTGAACAGATTTAAAACCAAACACCATCTTTCGAAAAATATATATATTTTTAATTTTCCAAAATTTGACTAAATGTTAAAAAATGTTTTAAAAAAATAATATACATAACAAATGAAAATGTTTATGAGCTTTAACTGAAAAAACATAAAACAACATACCAAATACAAAATACTTATTAAAGAGAATCTTAAGGATCATATCAGTATTAAAAGTTTAAGAATCTATGAATATTTTTTTTCAAGTTTGCAAATTTATTAGACATCATTCTAAAACTTAAAACACAAATTTTAATTTAACTTAATAAAAAATTATAACATTGTTTCAACAGAAATATGTATATTGGATGAATTATCGTGAATACAAATAATGGTGGACTTGCAAAACATAAACGAGCACTCCAATGCTCAAATCATAAAAAGTTCAAACTACGTCTCTCTCTAACGTGTTTACAAATTCGCACGTAACTAATGACAAGTTTATCTTAAGTATTTAATATTATTGACGAGTGGAGAGTTAGGCAATTTCCTTCACTCCGATCATCCGACCCTCCGACCTTCGATAGGCCGGTTAGCAAAACTAGTTTAAAGGCATATCCGTTTAGATACCGCACAAGACTTTTAATAACACATGGCCAGCCATAATTCATCCTCTAACAAACATTGTATTTAAAATTAAAATTAAGAAAAACAAAATTTATTTTGTATTTGAAAAAAACAACTTCGAAATATCATTGGATATTGACATATTGTACAAATTTTTGGTAATAATAAAGGTTGGAAGAAAAGAAAGGAAAAAAGCAATAGAAAAGGGTCCAAGGCAAGGAACGCCCCATGGTTACAACCTGTCAAAAATGGCTACGTTTTCTTCCATTTTTAAGGCCATCAAAATTGAATCCTCTCTCTCTCTCTACAGTTTTCTCTCTCTTCAGTGATCTCGGAGAACCAGCGGAGCTGAGGAAGACGAAGAAGTAGACGATGGGAGTGCCTGCTGCTTCGGGCGATGATTTTCTGAGGGAAAGAGCGGCGAAGATGAGAGAATCGATGCTGAAGAGCCAAACCATTACCGATAACGTCGTTTCGATCCTTGGTTCGTTTGACCATCGCCTTTCTGCTCTTGAGACCGCCATGCGTCCTACTCAGGTTCTGCTTTGACTCGCTCCGCTTTCTGTTTGATTCACTAGAAAGAAGTTTCGTGAATAAGGGGCGATGAAAAGTTTTCTTGATTCCACGGGTCTTTGTTGGTTCCGAGTTCCGACCAACTGAATATCGGTTTACTTCCTTTTTACTATGCGAGAATCGTTGTTGAATTTTGTTTTGGCATTTCGTTTCCTCGAGAATCAAAATTCAGATCCGTGTTTTGGCCCTTTTGCCCATTTTGTTTGATTAATCTGTCTGCTCGCTCATGGGGTTGCTTATTTCCTGTAATTGTTTTTCGTTGTATTGTGGTTCTGACATTGGTTCTTACTGTTTAGGTTTTTGATTATTGTGTGGCTTTTGCAGATCAGAACCCATTCTATTCGCAAAGCTCATGAGAACATTGACAAGACTTTGAAGGCCGCGGAGGTTATTTTAGCTCAGTTTGATCTCTCTCGTCAGGTTGGTCTTATTGATACTTCGAGCCTGTTAGATCACGAGCTTAGTTTTTCTACATCCACTTAGTTGTGTATGAGCTTAAAAATCTTTAACCCGAAACCATCAGCCTGATGAAACTCACAACAAATGCACTAATTTTGGTTGGTTGTGTGGATGAGGGAGATAATGCCGAGTGTACCTGGACATCAAGCCTTGAAAACTGATGTCCAAAGTGTTACGATCCAGCGCTAAGCTGCACATCTTTCTTTTCATCAAACCCAAAACTCTTTTATATCTTTCAATTCAGATTCTCCATAATAAGCATGATAGCACGAAATGACATTTCAGCTCTTTGATACGTTAAATCACAGGACCTAAAACTTAAGCTAAATTTAATTAGAGATAAGAGTAATGTGATTAATGATTAACGAAGGTCTGGTTAAAAAATCTACTAGTTCAAAAGAATTATTACTGATGTATATGAAGGAAAATCTTAAAATATAATAAGATCTTCATTATTAAATTAAATTTGCAGGTCAAGATTAATATAAATGACATCTTTTTATTTTTTTGCATTCATAATATTATGTGGAACAATATATATGAAAAGAATAACCATCGAAGGGCCAGATAAAATCGTTAGTCTTAGGTCTTTATATTGAAGACCCGGACATGCCTCTGAATGTGGCTATTGGTATGACCTGTATTGCATCTTGCTTGTTAAACTATTGTTCTGGTGTGCAGGCAGAAACGAAAATACTTAAAGGGCCTCATGAGGATTTGGAGAGTTATCTTGGGGCAATTGATCAATTAAGAAACATTATTAAATTCTTTAGCAGTCATAAAGGTTTCAAGAGTAGTGAGGTAGTACTTAACCAGGCAAATAATCTGCTTGCAAAAGCCATCTCAAAGCTGGAAGATGAGTTCAGACAGCTATTATCGTCTTACAGGTTTCTACATATTATTTTTTCTTTTGAAGAATTCTATACATATACACGTTAAAAATGCCTTTTGATTGACACATGATTTTTCTTGGAAGTACAAAGCATTTCTCCTATTCAAATACGAAGTTATTTGTAAAACCACCACAAAAGCTCTTTCATTTTTCTCTATGATAGCTGGCTTTTTCATTAAAAAGAACCACCACAAAATCTTACTCATAAATTTTTATCTTTAGTTTTCATTGGTTGCAAAAGGAAAAAAAAACGAGTATGTCATCTCCAAGTGCCAGAAAAGAAGCGAAAATACTGAAATGGGCCACATGAGGGTTTGGAGAGTTATCTTAGGGCAATTGATCAATACGAGATAATGTTAAATTCTTTAGCAGACCGAGTTTCTATGCATACACATGAGAATAGGGAACATGGACGGTTGTAAAAAACTTTTTCATTATTTATTTTTTGGTATTCTCTATAAGGATAATGTGTATTACTGAGCTTAAGTTTAATATTTGTTTGGGACAATTCAGCAAACCTGTGGAGCCTGAGCGCCTTTTTGATTGCCTGCCAAAATCGTTGCAACCATCTTCAGAATCTCCTGGTCATCAAGATGATTCAGGTGGGAAGAATCCCTCCTCAAATCATCATTCTGCACATCATGATAATAACTTGGAGAATGCTGTCTACACACCTCCCACTCTCATACCACCACGTGTTCTACCACTGCTGCATGATTTGTCACAGCAGATGGTTCAAGCTGGTCATCAACAGCAAATTCTAAAAATCTACAGGTAACTGTAAATGTCACTTGATTTATTGTGTGTGTTACTTCGTGTCTTCATTCTGACATTGGTGTGTGAAAATCCGAACCATACCTCAAGGAGCTTATAAAAAGGCACCTCAATTAGAATTGAAGTAAACTCATCTATTTCTACATCATTGGAATTTCTTCTGGTTGGCAAAATAGTATGGTTAAAGAGACAATGAGAGCATCAATATCTGGGCTCGGAAGATAAATTCCCAACCCAAACATCTTCCCTAAAATGAATTTGTCAGCCATCTCTAAGAATAATTTTTTTACAGGAGAGAAACAAGGCTTATCCATATATCTTCTTTTGGTCAGGGATACACGTTCAGTTGTTCTGGAAGAAAGCCTACGGAAACTGGGAGTTGAAAAACTTAGCAAAGATGATGTCCAGAAGATGGCATGGGAGGTTTTAGAGGCAAAAATTGGGAACTGGATTCATTTTATGCGTATTGCAGTAAGCATAGAAAATTTGATGCTTAATTTTTTCCTGGTGGCTTCAAAATGCATAACTTTGCTTAATTACAGGTCAAACTACTGTTTGCTGGAGAAAGAAAAGTGTGTGATCAAATATTTGAAGGCTTTGAATCGCTTAGAGATCAATCCTTTGCAGAGGTTACGTCTAGTAGTGTGTCTGTGCTATTCAGTTTTGGGGAGGCGATTGCTAAAAGCAAGAGGTCACCAGAAAAGTTATTTGTACTTCTGGACATGTATGAAATAATGCGAGAGCTTCACTCTGAGGTATGGCTAATGTTTTGTTTTCACCTGCATATTGTATGTACAAGGTGTTAACCACTATTTAGCTGGATTATCTTTGGTTATTGCAAAATCACATAAATTTTTGTAAGTACGCGAGGACCACAATCTTAATAATCAATGTAATTTGGTGGGAATGAAAATGGTAGACCCAAGCCCTTTCAAGCAACACCTTGAAATGATAATTTAATGGTATTAAGTTGTGTAGATAAATTATTTTGATTCTTTTTGTATCTATGCTTAGATTACGGCCCCTACATGTTGTCTAACTCACAAGGGCTTTTTTTGTAATTACAGTCTTACGATGTTAATACGTGATTGGAAAGCTGTATGCATTTGCATCTCGATGATATCGAATCGTATTAAAATATCATGAATAACAATATCTGAGCTATAAAATCGATTCATCGTCGAGAATTGAATAGTATAATATATGAAGATCTTTTATCCATACCGAATTTAAACAAAATGGGATTCTTGATGCAATCAAGAATCTCTTTACTTTTTCTTTTTTAATTTCTAATTTTTTGCATTCTTTCTTTTCTATAATCTACTGACCTTAATTCACTAGTTTTTGTTTGGTGGGGGCTTTTTCATCCCCCAGCCTCTAGGCTGTTCCTTTTTCTCTTGTTCAACAAAGATCTATTTTTTCCTATAAAAAAATCATTGATATGTTTCTGAATTGGCAATATTAGGAACCAGAGGCAAATTAAGTCAAACTAAGGTTGCTATTGATCAAATTAATTATTTTTCGTGTTGTGGGACTCCAAAAGTCGAGTTTCCTATGAAAGTCTCATTTTTAATTAAACGCTAGTGTTTAAGAATTTTCCTTCCTTTATAATGCCTTCTTTGAAGCTTGTGAATATTTGCTTCTTCTCGGGCCTTTAGTTTTGGACTATAAAAATCCCATCTCATGAACA